CCTCTTCTGAAACACGTCCAGCTTGGCTAGGAAAAGAATCTCAAAACAGTATAGGAAAGTGTAACTTCATATGACCATGTTGTTGACCCTACACTTGTTCCTGTCCATTCCTGTAAACAACAGTTTTAGAAACCCTGAAAGACAACAGCTTCACCCAGAACACTATCTTATTCTGAAGTTTCTATTTTTAATTCTTTGTTCACACAATTATATTACTAGACCCATGAAGTTAATGAGATTATCCACATGCCCTAAGCTAAGCAAGCATATACACTGTCGTGTTGTATTAAAAGCTTAGCTGAAAAAGCGGTAAGAAAAACAGCAGAATTATCCCAAGAAAGACATCAGATTTTCTGTGGATTAGAATTAAGGCAAAACTTTGTGCCTTATCTTACTTTCCCTTGGTGTTGACCAAGTGCTCTGCAATCTTCTTGATGGCTGAGTTGAAGAACCAGGAGAAATTGCAGATGCACCCACATAGGAGTGGGTTAGACACCAACATAAGTCTTGAACACATGAACAAAATTTCCTTTCTCATCATCAATCTTCTTTGCACTCTTGGATAGGCCAACTTGAAAAGGGCCTGACTGACAAAAATATTTAGCCATGTAATTAAAAGAGATGGGTCTACATTCAAATAGCTCCCCAAAAGCAGAATCTTCGCTATGGTAAAATAATGCAAAAAGGCATTCAACGTAATATGATAAACACGTACACACAGTTTAAAAAAATCCTCATTTAATATTCATTACAGAATTGAAATCAACAGCAAAATCAGAGAGCTAACTGCCTGCTTAAGAACTGAGTCCTAAATAATTTTGCAGAGCTGGGCATTCACCTACTCTCCATTTGTAAAATATCAAATACTGTTTCATCTCACATGGCTGCTGTGGGACCAATGAGAGAAAAAAAAACATTCAAGATACTACTTCCATTTGTAGGGTTCTTATCTAAAAGCCCCATTCCCAGAAATGAGGACTTATGTATCAAATAGAAAATACAGATATATCAATTCCATGCAAATTTGCTACTGAATTTTACACAAGCAATCATTCCAAAACAATCCCTAATGTAGTATCCAGAACACTAACAAAGATACTGAGAACACTGTGAAGATCAACTCACGATTCAGAAATGCCTAGAGATTGAATACGGCATGACACCTCATACTACAAAATTATATTCAAGTTTAGCCATTTTATTATCTGAATTTACAAAGGATACCACCAAACAGTTACTACTTACTTCAAAAGACTAATGGTCATTTTAACGGCATGCAGATTCTGATATTTTTAAGTAGCATTCAGCCTTATCTCCAGGAGGTATGAAGTGTACCTGGGTTTTCTTTAGTGAAAGAACAGAAATTCCATCTTTTAAAATGACAGCTTTGGTTACTTGCAGCATTTAAATGGGATATGCCTTCACTATTAGAGCTAAAACAGTTACTGACAGAACTAATACACAGCAGGTACTACAGGGAATAAGAAACATTTCACCAGTAGGTCTCAAAGCTATTTACTGACAGCACAAAATACAGTGCCTATAATACAAATCCCTCTGTTCTGAACTCCTACCCACCCTTCAAGCCATCTGTTGCATGGCTGCATCTGACCTGACCTCTCCTGTTAACTAACCACCTAACTTTCCATTACCTGTCCCTCTCTCTTCTGGTCCTCACAGTTCTGTTTTCTTCTCTTTTTACTCAATTCCTTCTGGATGTTTTTTTTTTTTCCATCTCCTGCCCATCCCTTGGGTGCAACTCAGGGAAGAGAGGAGTCTCCCTACTTTCTGCCCCTTTCCCACAGCCCTACAGCCACAAGGAACAACTGCAAGAAAGTCCTGACTAGTCTCTGTAGCCTGGAATAGATCATGTTCAATACAAACAGGATTTTAAGAAGATGTATTTAATAAAAATTCCAGCAGTCTCTACTGAGAACATGAAGTGAAGATTTTCAAATGCCTGTAACTTAGGCAGTTTGGGTATTTTTCTCATAGTATAATAAAAGCTACATTCTACCAAGAGCTCTTTTCCTGTTGGTATCCAAGGCTCTCCTCCAAAGCAGAGCAGGATGAGGATTTCTCGGTGAAATACATTAACAGGAAAACCAAACAAAAAGGTCCTTTCTACCAACCCCACTAAAAAAAACAATGTCCCCCTTATTTTGTTCTAAGAAATGGACTAAGCGTTTTATCTGAAGATCTACAAACAACTCAACCACTGTTCGGCACCAGTATAAAGATTTTCAGTTGGATACTACATTAAATTTCAATTAATAAAAAAGTCCCTACAATGGAAAATGTTATGCAGCCTTAATAACAGAGTAATCTGCCAGCTACAGCTCTAATAAGCCTTAATTTCAACCAGAATGGACAAGAAGGGAAAAGGTTTCCATTCTTATCCTATTAAAAAGCACACAAGTTGTGCTTTTCACGGGAGTCACATTTCATTCATTAACATTAAACCCTTTAGAGAAGGGACAGACTCCTACTCAACGCCTACGTGCCATGAGAAATGAAACACGATCTCCAAAGTGTCAACGTTAACATTGCTCCATTGTTAAACAAGTCATCTTTTTCAACAAGTAAGCTCATAGGGAGATAAAACATTGGGAGACGATCACCTTTTAAAAACAAAGAGTACTTTGAATTCTATCCTAAGAAATAAAATAATTACTGTTATCTTGATTTCAGTTCTGCTTGCAGCAAGACCTCATCTGAAAGTGTAAATGTCCATTACATAATTTGAGTTCAAAGTTCACTCTTCATAATGGAAAAGTCTGCTAGGTGTCTAAAAGAAATAAATTTTTGAAAAAGCTTTTTCCATGCTTCTATTTGAAACTGTCAGTTGATGCAAAGTATGATTTTTACATGATTCGTGTGAACAAATGTCCATGTTTCACTTACAGCACTTGCCAAAACGTTTAATGTATATAAGCAACTCCATGTGTCAGCAAACCAGAAGAAATTGCTATAAGGTAAGGCGAGTGCTAAGACAAACTCAGCAACAGTTTCTTTTTTAAAATCTTGGAATACTTATTTTCCTACAGCAGCCACATGTGTGCATGGAAATAATTAACAGGTGAAAGACACAAAGGAATCTGCACATGACAATTTATCAAAACTTTCTATTTAACTTTCACTCTTCACATGCAAGGCTTAGCCAACCTATGCTATAGTTATATAGCAAGGAGCCTTTGCTTTGCATTTAACACTCCACTTCTGTTCTCAGACCTTAAGGAATCCACAGATCACGCAGCTGTTCTAATATTTGTATCTTATGCTTCTAAATATTACCATTTTATGGTTCTTTAAGATTGTGTTAAGGAGGAAATCCAAATTGGGTATAGTCATGCATATTACTTATTTATATACATAATCTTGTTTTATAAAACTATCTAACAAACCACTCAGATGACGTTAGCCATGTTGAGACAGCTGAAGAGTAGAACTGCCAAAAATGTACACTTCAAAGATCTGTGGTCCACAGAAATTATTGTAATATGGTGCTCCGTTTTCCACTGGCTTCAGCGCAAGGTCATAAAATGTGCATCTAGGTGACCTATTCTTGTGGCTTCACTGTAGGTGGGTTCCACCTTGTTTTAATGTGACTCTGAAGACTTGGCGTCTCTGAAACTCTTTGGGCCATACACTGGTAAAATCCACCAACAATTACGGCAGACAGCTGCGCACCCTGTGCTCAAACTTCTACTCAAAAACACTACAGACTTTCAAAGGAGAGCTGCAGATCACCTATGTTTGCCTCACAGAACACAACTCAAGTAGTACTGCTCTAGGGAGAGCGAAAAATAAGTGAATAATTGAAATACGTTCTTTGCACAAAAATACGAGTTCTGTCACTGCTAAAACACACAGACTTTAATCTACTGCTGTCATCTGAGTGCTTAACTTGATATTAACATTTTGAGATGTGTTGCCTTGAAAATAATTTTCTGGTTTGGTGGGGTTTGGTTGTTGTTTTGGGGTTTTAAAATTTGTTTTATGGGGGGGGGTTTAATGGTTTAGTTAAAGTGATGGCACTTCATCTATATCCAGCTCTGGCATACCCTAGTTAACCTGTGTTTCTATGGGTTTTCCCCTCCTGAATAACAGACCACACCAAATAAGATGACTGAAGAAAGGCAGAGGGTCAAAATGCACCAAGGAAGTTTTACATGAGACTGCCGAAACTGCTGCAATAGCCCAAGTATTACATTTACATAGAAGTTTACCCAATAAATAGAACCAGTTCCTCGAAACCAAGTAAAACAGACAAACATACACCCTCAGACAGACAATGATTAATAATAATTAACTGACTTTGGAACATATGTGATACAAAAAATTCGAAACTCCGTAGTTTCTGCATCTTTCTATAGTTATATCCTTGGGGAAAAAAATGCATGCAAACATATTGCTACAAGTTTCCCTAGACTTTCACTTTGACATCTAATAGCTCAAGGTGGCTCACACAACTAGTATTCAAGAAATGCTTAAAGTACAGTCTGTCTCAGATTTTGTTTCATACGATTGGCAAGCTTTATAGCATTTCAATTCAAAAGCTAGTAAAGTGTCCCAGCCAATAAATCAAAATAACTGCTATTCAAGCACTACCTGAGTGTATTCGTACTTAACCTTTAAGATTAAGCACCAGGAAGACAGAAGACACATGGCAGACCGTATTGGTCCTTTAAATACTGATTATTTGGGGTAAATGGAAAAGCTGAAAGGCCCAATCTAAACCATACCAGAACTGCTGGAAAGGTTGCTAGTTATAATCCTGTCTTCTAAATTCAGTGTTTAATCAGGCATTACATCATGCCTTCTCATCATGAAACAACTCTCACTTGTTATAATGAAGGTTAACAAGTTATTATACTAGGAAACTAAAGGAAACAAAGACAGTAACAGACACACAAGTTTTTCCACAGGGAAACTGACAAAATGTAATCACAATTTCAAACAACAAACCACTGCAGTTCAGAAAAATATTTTAAACTTACTGTGTTAGTTGAATCTTCTTGTAAAATTCTATCATACAACTGGATAGCATCATCATACCTGTTCAAAGAAATCATTTGCATTTATTTCTAAGACAGACCTCCTGACTTTTTGACTGTCCTTGCAATAGTTAATAACCCTCCTGCACTTTTTATACTGAATATATTTAAGCAAACTATATTGATGCAAAATTCTCCTGAGTGCCAAATATGAACAGCAGTATTTTATGTCACCAAGTTAAAAAAAAATACATGGTCATTGCTTCATGGAATATTGTTTCAGCAGCAACTTATATATTTTACACTCAATTTTTACTCTCCTGTCTGTTCTCTCTTATTCTGTACCCAATAGGTCCAATCATCACATCCCAACTCTCCCTTTCACCTCTCCCAAGAAAAAAAACCCCAAATTTGAAAGGCCATCCAAAATAATGACTTTTCACTTCATTGTTGTAATTTAGAACTTCATGTAAGTTTCTTCTGTTATGATTTTATAAAGTATAAGCAGCCACATACAGTAAACTGGGAGGATTCACACAAAAGTCCACCTCTAGACTATAATACAAATATTGAAAGAAAATGTTTTCCACCATCACTGCATAGGTTTTATTAATTAATTCTGCTATTTGAAGTATGCTTGAAACAGGTTACTTCAGCTGCTGTAAATGCTTTAAACCTTCTGGGAAAAAGATCTGTGTGTCCAGCCAGCTGTGTACATGACCCAAACTGGACAAATGAAATAATTCAGTTCAAAACACATTTGACTACACAGCTGCTGCGCTATCACCACATAACTAGGGCACACTTTGAGTCTTTGTGTATAGTTTGACAAGTAGTTTTTCAGAGGTACTGCTGATTCATTTTGATGCTACACATCCCCTTCTCACCTTGACACCCAGTTACATACTCTCACTACTCCCTAAGCACTGCTGACACTAGCATAGCTCAGCTGTCCAGCCCAGTCACCGTAACATATGAGAACAAATGCAAAAGGAAGCACAAAAGCAGAAATGAGTTGAAGGTGACTGCCACAGACTTGAGCAGACATGCTGTAAAATGCTGTATTTGTGTTCTCTGATAGTTGCTACTTTATCAGATGTATTTTACAAGACTCAATGTGATGGCCATAACCTGAGCTTTACAGGGTGAAGTTCCAGAATACTATTCTTGTGATTACCAAATGTCCTCAGGGATGTCTCAGTCTGCAGGGATGCCTCAGTCTATGGGGATGTTTTTCACTGTTTCCTCTCCCTGCTGGCGAAGGCAGGATCCTTCCTAGATCCTATAAGTCACTTACAATTTAACAAGCAGCTCACTTCAATTGAAAATGTGTTCCTTTGAGCCTAAGTCTCCCTAGGCTTCATTTATAGTCAGTGGGGAGAGATAGGCTTCTCCAGGGAACGGCTTAAAGCACCTGCAGGTGGGTTCCTGTTCAAAACAACCCAGAACTGAAGCCTCTTTCTTCTCTGACTTCTGGAGAAAATCGATGAAGGTGAAACCTCAGCTTTCTTTAATGCCTCTGCTCCCCTGATATTCCAATCTCAAGGATCTAACCTGACATAGACATTTTGTCAAGAATTTTTATGAGCACCTTTGGAAAACTGTGGCTCAATAGCACTTCATTGCTGAAACAACACATTTGTGCTGCAGTCATTTCCCGCAGAGATCTGTTCCCATGCAATAACAACTTCAATGTAGTCACATGAGCCCGAACAAAGTTATGATCTTTTGCACTTCTGAATAGGTTCTGGGAAGTGAGGAAATCTGCTGCCATTCCCTCACTGTCTTCCTAACCTATATCCAATGAAGACAGAAAGACAGCTAAGCTTAATGGAAATTCTTCATGAATGTGTATTTGATATAAAGTGAGTGTGTGGAACATCTGCTTGCCCTGAGACTGCCTCTGTCGTTGTGGACTCCAGTTATCCACTCTTTTCAATCCAAGGAATGGACATTCATTGGTGGTTCATATCAAATAACATTTTCAAAGTTAATTTTGCAAGAATGTAATGGATGAAGACCATTTGCTAAATATTTTTTTTTAAAAAAAAAAAAAAAGCATTTAGGGTTTACTTCTAAGTTCTAATTCCTTTGTATAAAGATGGCCCAAAGGCTACAAATCTCACCAACTCTGTAGGCAAAACGTGGCATGGAACAGATTTGCTAGCATTCAAAGGTACTGGAAGCTGCAAGACCTTCTCAACACCCAAGGCAAGTGCTTCAGAACAGAATGTTGATCATAGAATCATGGAACATCTAGGGTTGGAAAGGACCTTAAAAATAATTTAGTTCCAACCTCCCTGCCATGCCCAGGGACACCTTCCACTAGACAGGTTTGCTCAAAGCCCCATCTAACCTGGCCTTGAACACTTCCAGGGATGGGGCATCTAAAACTTCTCAGGGCAACCTGTTGCAGTGCCTCACAACCCTCATAGTGAAGAATTTCTTCCTTATATCTAATCTATATCTACCCTCTTTCAGGTTAAAGCCATTAACCCTTGGCCTATCACTACATGCCCTTGTAAAAAGTCCCTCTCCAGCTTTGTTGTAAGCCCCCTTCAGATGCTGGAAGGCCGCAATAAGGTCTCCCCACAGCCTTCTCTTCTCCAGGATGAACAACCCCAACTCTATCAGGCTGTCTTCATAGCAGAGTTGTTCCATTCCTTTGATCATCTTCGTGGCCCTCCTTTGGACTCTCTCCAACAGTTCCATGTCCTTCTTGTGCTGAGAACCCCAGAGCTGGACTCAGTACTCCAGGTGGGGTCTCACTAGCGTGGAGCAGAGGGGCAGAATCACCTCCCTCGATCCGCTCGCCACGCTGCTTTTGATGCAGTTGGCTTTCTGGGCTGCAAGTGAACGTTGCTGGGTTATGTTGAGCTTCTCATCAACCAACATTCCCAAGTCCTTCTCCACAGGGCTGCTCTCAATCCATTCTCTACCCAGCCTGCACGTGTGTTTCGGATTGCCCTGACCCATGTGAAAGACCTTGCACTTGGCCTTGTTAAACCTCATGAGGTCTGCATGGGCCCACCTCTCAAGCCTGTCAAGGTAGCTCTGGATAGCATCCCTTCCCTCCAGCGTGTTGACCACACTGCATAGCTTGGTGTCACTGGCAAACTTGTTGTGGGTGTACTCAATCCCTCTGTCCGTGTCACGGACAAAGATGTTAATCAGCACCAGTCCCAATACCAACCCCTGAGGAACGCCACTCATCGCTGGTCTCCACTTGGACATTGAAATGTTGACCACAACTCTTTGAGCATGACCATCCAGCCAATTCTTTATCCACCAAGTGGTCCATCCATCAAATCCATGTCTCTCAAATTTAGAGACAAGGATGCAGTGTGGGACAGCGTCAAATGCTTTGCAAAAGTCCAGGTAGATGATGTCAGTTGCTCTTCCCTTATCCACCAATACTATAACCCCATCATAGAAGGCCACCAAATTTGTCAGACATGATTTGCCCTTAGTGAAGCCATGTTGGTTGTCATCAATCACCTCCTTATTTTCCATGTGTCTTAGCATAGTTTCCAGGAGGATCTGCTCCATGATCTTGCCAGGCACAGAGGTGAGACTGACTAGCCTGTAGTCCTCTGGGTCTTCCTTTTTTCTCTTTTTAAAAATGGGAGCTATGTTTCCCCTTTTCCAGTCAGTGGGAATTTCACTGGACTGCCATGACTTCTCAAATCTGATGGATAGTGGCTTAGCAACTTCATCTGCCAGTTCCCTCAGGACTCACAGATGCATCTCATCAGGTCCCATGGACTTGTGCACCTTCAGGTTCCGTAGATGCTCTCAAACCTGATCTTCTCCTGCAGTGGGCAGTTCTTCATTCTCCCAGTCCCTGCCTTTGCCTTCTGCGACTTGGGTGGTATGGCTTGAACACTTGGCAGTGAAGACTGAAGCAAAAATGTCATTGCCTCAGCCTTCTCCATATCCCAGGTAACCAGGTCTCCTATTTCCTTCTGGAGAGGGCCCACATTTTCCCTAGTCTGCCTTTTATCACTGATGTACCTATAGAAGCTTTTCATGTTGCCCTTAATGTCTCTGGCCAGATTTATTTCTATGAGGGCTTTAGATTTCCTAACCTGATCTCCGACTCCTTGGACAATTTCTCTGCATTCCTCCAAGGCTATCTATCCTTGCTTCTACTCTCTGTAGGCCTCCTTTTTGTGTTTGAGTTTGTCCAGGAGCTCCCTGTTCATCCATAAAAGGCCTCCTGGCATTTTTGTCCAGCTTCCTCTTTGCATCATTCCTGAGCTTGGAGGACGTGATCCTTGAATATTAACCAGCTTTCTTGGGTCCCTCCTCCCTCCAGGGCTTTATCTCGTGGTACTCTACCAAGCAGATCCCTGAAGAGGCCAAAGTCTGCTCTCCTGAAGTCCAAGGTAGTGAGCTTGCTGTGCCCCCTCCTCACTGCCCCAAGGATCTTGAACTCCACCATTTCATGGTCACTGCAACCAAGGCTGCCCTTGAGCTTCACATTCCCCACCAGCCCCTCCTTGTTGCTGAGAACAAGGTCCAGCATAGCACCTCTCTTTGTTGGCTCCTCTATCACTTGGAGAAGGAAGTTATCATCAACGCATTCCAGGAACCTCCTGGATTGCTAATGCCCTGCTGTGTTGTCCCTCCAACAGATATCAGGGTGGTTGAAGTCCCCCATGAAGAACAGGACTTGTGAATATGAGGCTGCTCCTACCTGTCTACAGAGGGCCTCATCTGCTCGGTCTTCCTGGTCGGGTGGCCTGTAGCAGACCCCCATTGTAATGTCACCTGTCCCTATCCTCCCTTTAATCCCCACCTATAAGCTCTCAATCAGCTCCTCATCCATCCCCAGGCAGAGCTCCACGCACTCCACAGGGGGCAACACTCCCTCCTCACGTCCCCTGCCTGTCCTTCCTAAAGAGCCTACAACCTTCCATTCCACACTCCAGTCACAGATGTATAGATATAACAGATGTATAGGTATCATCACAAACATCAAAGATGCATCCAAGAAGAAAGGCGGACAGTAAAGGTCAACCTCAAGCCCTGAGGTCATTCATCTTGGAAAGCTGTAAAGTTTTAAGCCGTTCATTATTCTAATAATTCCTACTAAACTTAGTACGTTATAACCCTTATAGAGGATATTTCAAAAAGGTCAGCCTGATTTTTAGGTTCTGCCATTCTATTCCCTATGTTTTTTGAGTTGTTTCTACAACAAACACTGTAGATTTAATCCTTACTAAGTTCTTCCAGATTTATCCACACTCAGAAAACAAGCTACATCCTGCAGTAATTAGGAGCACAGGAGAACAATGAAGGCAAAAAACCGCTGGCACTGACTTTCATATGCTGCTCTAGCTCTGTGAGATGAAACGTGTACCTCACAGACTTCGCCAAAAGAAGTGTCTAGTGTTTTACTGTACAATGACTTATGCTGTCAAGTAAGAGATCTTTTTAATCTATGAAGTTTGATGGGAAGATAGCAAAAATGTGACACGGCATAGTACATGCAAAACTGCAATAAAAATGTCTTAACATTATAATATGATCACGCACACCATTATTTTCTATAAAGAAACTTCCCAGCATTGCTTTGCCATGTTTTTATAGCACCTGAATGCCTTTTTAAGAAATAGCAAGCACCTTTCCAGACAGAAAGTAAATTTTTTTAAATACTGGTTTTACCTTTCCATAGCTTCAAATCTCATTCCAGTTAATCGTTTAACTCTGTGGCTCCCAGGAAACTGCCGCCTTAGTTCTTGAAGACAAAACTATACAAATAAAACCAAAAATACTATTATGAATATAATTATCTACAAAGAAGCTGGAAGATAAAAAAAAATCCTTGGCTAATGATTCAACAACCTGAAATGGCACTTCTGAGTAAAAGCAATTACCGATTTTTGAAATAAGCAATAACACGTATTGTTAAAGAGAAGCTCAGAAACTTAAACTTTGTCTGTTAGAAGGCTAATTTAGGAAATACCTTCCATACAGGTCATTAGATTGTCAGGCCTTCTTGGAAATACTTATTTGTCTAGAAAATTAAACTCGCCTACTAAAACAGTTCTGATGCTATTAAAACCTGAAGTCTACATAGTTGCCCCATAATAACACAAGACAGTAAAAAACAAATTAAAGACAGTAAGAGTTTATGTGATACTTCTTTAATAAATGGATATCTCACAATGGAACAAACTATGCTAATACTATGCTCTGTGTTTATTTTTAAAATAAAACTTTGAAATCCAAAGAAAATGTTTGTCACTGGCTTGGATTGAGCCTGCTGGCAGAGAAGGCACAGCTTCTAACTCCTGAAATCAGTGAGACACCTGGGCTGGATAAAAGGAATTCATCACAGGCAGATTTCTCTGGATTAGCAAAAAAGGATGTTTGGTAGAGGGACTGAGTCACAACTTCCCCAGAACAAACTAACTCTAACCATATCACGAATGTGGCTATATAGCATTGCAAAGTTTGTAGCTGACTCATTACGGTGGGAGGCAGTACTGTCCACAGGCTCTCAAAAAGACCAGTGGTTTGAATCGCGTTAAAAGCTTCACACAGAACCCTCCTTTTCCAGGCATCCATTTATCCAACTCAGCTTATAAACTTGTTCTTCAGACCTAGGGTTCTAGCAGCGACCTATCTACATAATCTGTTCCATCTCACCACAACCATGAGTCAAAGGAAAAATACAGAAGTGAATCAGTAAAAATTAGTCTTTTCCCTCTCTGTTTCTGTAGATAAACAGGTTGCTAGTGAACAGCAAAGAAAAACATTCACACCTCTCCCAGATGCAAAAAAACAGAGAAGGGAGACAGGAAACCATAATCAGAGAAGTAGCACTTAGCCTCAAGTAAGCACAGAATATTTTCATCATTATCATCTTCATTTTCAATGGACCAAGATCTCAAGAATGCAATTTCACATAGCAAGACTCAGGTTTAGAACAGGAACAGTTTACTGGCACTTTGAGTGATGTCTAGGTGAACTGTTGCTGCTCTGGACAACAAACTGTCATAAAAAACTACAGGTACTTAGCAGCACCTTACATGAGGTCTGAACTCATCTGTGAAAACTTACATAAAACTCCAGAAAAGTATTTTCACTCCAGCTTTTCCACAAACAACCTTCCAGATTTTAAAAAGAACTTTTGCAGACAATAAATTCACCCTGTGGTGATCTGGAAATCCCAAAGGACAGTGATTTTCCATATAAGAACATGCACTGCTTTTCTCCAATAAAATTTTTTAATGTCAAAAATTGTAACATTTGCAATAACACTAAATTCCACAATCTGCAGATGGACTTTTACATCTAGAAAAACACCATCAACAGAATAAAAAGAGCTGATTAAGTAGCACTCAGGTGCAGGAGTACTACAAGACCAGAATTGTTCACATGAGATCTGACTACATGATCATTATTCAATTGAATACAGCAGCCACAATGCCAAGATAAACTCCTGTAGATTAAAACATTAGACACAAAAAAGTGACATGGAAGTTGTGACACAGGCACAAACAATTCACTGCAACACTTTCAAAACCAAAAGTGCACGAATAAACTACAATAGCTGCATCTTCAAAATGTTCTGGATTCAGCAGCACTGAATGTCCTCTTTTTAAATTTAAACTGTAATCCCCATAATAATTTATGTTATTGAAGTTCTGCACTATGTCAATAATCTACTTTCAAGATTCTCTCAGAAACTCAGCAGTTACAATGGCAAATCTCATTTGTATGTGAAACTTTAATTTGCAGTTAATTTGCTTTCTCATTTTTTTAATCATGTAGGTTCTTAATTTTAAAGGTCTGACAAAGGCAAAGAAATATAAACCTGGACTTCCAGCACGTAAAACACTGGTGGTGCAAGTGCCTGCCAACAGTAGGTGAATTCACTAAAATAGGCACGCGAACGAACTGGCTGCAGGGGCACGCATTACGAACGGTCATTTTGTGCGGGACAGAGAGGACAACAGTAATAAAAAGAGGAAAGAGAAAGAAAAAGAAAAAATAAAAGTCAGATAAATTACTCTGAAAACCATCTCAGCCTCCTCATTTGGAGCAGATGAGACCTATACCCCCAGGCAAAATGCATCACAGCTGTCAAAAGCTCACTGCTAAAAAACAGAAGTTCTGAAGCTGTTTGTCTACTTTGGGGCTACAGCTGTAGCAAAAATCCACATATGATGCTGACTTGTTTGAATTAACTACTTCTTTATTATAAACCAATCAAATTAAAAAAAATAATGAAAAAACTGTTTCCCTCTAAGCTTTTAACCTCCTTTCTGGGCTGCATGCAAAATGTTGCACTCCCTCATCTCAAGCAGTATTCCTCAGAGGGCACAGAAACTGAAATTTAAAATCCCTGCCAGGGTTAGTAAAAATAAATAGTGTTTCACAACTGATCTTTCAACACTGGCTCCCTCAACAACATTGTGAAAGTCTTCCTAAAAAGACCCTGAAAATAAAGACCAAAACTGTTTTAGATAGGTATCAGAAAACAGAAATATATTTATTTAAACAGTAAGTCTATTTGTTTTTATTTAAAGAGACAGCTATACTACAACAGTATTTTCTTCTGAGGAACAAGAGAAAGGGAAGTTCAGTGGGTTCACGACAAGTTGAATGTGCTGTATTTTCCAGCGTACTCCATTTTACCATATACATACGGGATGCAAGATAAACTTGCCTAGTTGTGCCTGCTTTGCCCTTTGCCCAACTACATCCTCTAGTCTGACCCCTTGTATATCACAGACCATTAAGTTTCACCCAAATGACATCACATGAAGCTCAAAGACTTTATGGGGTATTTTGCTACCTGACAGAGAACAAGGCACTGGAAGAGTAATCCCCATGAAAGACCTGGACTCCTGAAAATATCTTTCTCTTTACTTAGAATAAGCTCAGGCTTGCTGGCTTTCAGGGCACAACACAAGCTCATGGGTTTTTTTTCCCCAGCGTTTTGTGAAGGGGGGACGAAAAGATTATTAAAATTTGCCTGCACAACACACTTTTGCCTTTTTCAGTTGCTGCCTTTAAAAGATTAACTAAGCTTGGTTGGGTTTTTTTGTTTGTTTCAGTGTTTCTTCATTTTTAATCTAGTGAGCAGGTGTTACAGTTCTAAATAAACTAATTTTATCTAAATTGTTATTTGTATAATTCAAATAAATTTGCATACAAATTGAGTAACCCAAATATCCATTAACAACACTTTTACCAAGAATAATTGAATAATTTGGGACCTTTGAATCTCCAGATCTCCACTTAAAACAGAGCCAGCTTCCAAGTGACCGTGGGGCCACATCCCAAACCATTTCTGAGCATCTCCAAGGGAGATTCCACAGCTTCTCTCTGCCACTTGTCCCGAAGTGTCCACTAACCCCATTGATTTTTCCCAATATCCAATTGGAATTCCCTTCATTGCAGCTTATCTCTCTCGCACTTGCCTTTTGCTGCACATCTACTAAAATCTGTCTCCACTTTTATACCTTCCCATTAGTCATATTCAAAGATAGCAATAAAATCCCTTCTTAGCTTTCTCAAGGCTTAACAAAACCAGATCTCTCAGCCTTTCCTTATACATTATGCAGTCCAGCTCCTTATTCATCTTGAAGACTTGCTCCAGTATGTCAATGACTTTCTTTGATGATAGCCAACATGACATACAATATGATATGCATGACAGGACATTTTACCTCAAAACATTCAAAAAACCAGTATAATTTGAGAGTTTTTCAATAAACAAACACTCTCTGTACAATTTGGCAACTTCAATATTATTCTTGACATTTAGCCCATACCAGAGTAGCTGTAAATATTTTCATGGCTATTGGAAGAGACATGATCTGTCTAAACAAAAGTTACACATTAGAGAATGTGGGTGGAGGCAGTTTCTTCCCAGCAGTGTATTTCTTGATAGATATTCTACAAGTCCAAGTTATGGAGTACAGAATATCCTATAACTGTCCAAAGAACTATCTGGAAGAGATACCCAGGAAGAAAACTTAATGTTTGAGGGAAAAGTCAACTTGAAAAACTTACCATTGCCAAATCATCTCGGCTGCAGTCCAGGGCAGCAATCATCACCTGTTCATATATTATCCAAACTGGACACAAAAGAGACATTAAATGCAGATAATTGGGTTTTTTTAAGATAACGGGAAACACCTACAATGTAAACAAGATTAATGAATTCTGTCTGTATATTTTTCCCTTTCTACTCCCGTGGCTCACTACTGAAACAGAGACATTTTAAGAAACTGCTGGAATTAATTAAAATCGCATTCAAGTAATTTTATTGCTTTTAGTAACAAAGTACCTTTTGACATCCTGAAAGGCAAAAAGCTCTAACTCTCTGCTTTTCCTAACATTATAGCTGCAGTCTTCTAAATAGATCTCCATTAGGACTTGCTCTCTCATCAGACCTGGAGAACAGCCATTTGGGCTAGAAAGAAAACAAATTTCCCTTAACTATTTCACTGCTGGAAGTCCTACAAATTTTGCCTTCTTCCTGGATAGGAACAATTTCTCTACATCAGTAACAGATTACATTTCTGTTCTAGGCCTACCAAGGTCTTGAGTATAAAGAACTTAACAGTGTAGCGACACAAGTTGCAGAAAAGAGAGGTTACAGTAGAGGGAAACATGTAACGCAAGTATTAGAAGCACTAAGTGTTCCGAACTCCTGTAAATCCAATCAGGTGCACACAGTATTTCAGGGAACTGAAACAGAAGCAACTGTCTTCCAAAATAAAAAGGCCCTCTCATTTTTAAAAATAGTTTCTATGATATGAATTTCCAATATTTTTTAAATAAATTACTATTTCTTGCTAAGTATACAAAAGAGAAACAGGCATTAATTTGCCTGTAACCCCTCCCTCTTCCCCATTAGAACTATTTGTAAGACATATATTCTATTTTTATTATATAATGTATACATTTTTCCATGAATGTAAAAGTACATACATAGATACAGACAAAATATAGACAACATCTACCCATGATATAAATTAATATGTCTTTTTAAAAAATTCTAAACACAATAATAAGATACTTTTATAGTTTATGAAACTGCCCTCCCCATTCGATCAAACCTCTATCTTGATACTCTAACTCTAGCACAGGTTAGTGTCAGGTATCAGGTAACGGAACGCTTGTAAGAGAATCAAGTATCCAGTCCAGAGGGATGTGTTTTTCTAATCTGTACTAGGGCTTTCTTGCTCAAACTTAAAAAAAACCAAAACACCAAACAAACAAACAAGCAAAAAAAACCCCACCAAAAAAACACCAAAGGTTTTGAACTACTAATTATCCATGAGAAAATCCCAACTTTTCACTGAAATTATGATGGGGATAATAGTATCCCCACCCCTTAGACTGAATATTCAGTAAGTTATTTTTATTTTAAAAACACTAATAATGATAAAATCTTTTTTCTCCCCAATTACACTGGATGTCTTCTAGCTGAGGAGGCAAGTTATAATCATCTGCCCCACTGCACTCATTATTTTCCTTTCTATACGCATTCTGAAATTAGACATTGTAATATCCAGGTATTTTCTGAAAACACATGAAGCGACAAGACAAACATCCATCATACCCAACCAATTCACCTTCTATGGCTATATGTGTTTGGTTTTTTTTTTTTTTCCTTTTTTTTTCCTGTTTGTTTTTAAAACTGTCCACAGTTGCCAGTCTGCTACTACTTAAACAGAATGCAAATATGTAAATATGCATTTGCTAAGAATCTCAGAAACACTGCAGCTAATTTATGTAATGAATCCTGAATGCCAAGTTTATGAAAGAATAAAATACATATATCTTGAAAAGAAGGACAAACTCAACACCAACAAGAAAGGAATGACTCTGCCTGGATTACTGAGAACAATATTTCAGAAAGGCATCAGTAAGATCTAAGAGGACTACCAAACTCCTCAACACTTTCTTACTAAAATACAGTTCTCCTAAATTACTAGCAACATGATAAGAAGAAAGCAAAATCAAGGTAAATTCTCAAAGTTCTTCTAAAGCAGAGGGAACCTACGACAACTCTCTTGCAGGTGGGTGTATTAAGCCTACCCATGCAGTCTAAAAACAAGCACGTTCCTCACAGTTAGGGTGCAAGAGCCCCTCACAGTGCAGTGTCTTCTTCAGGCACTGAATCTCCAAACGCACTTCATGACTCACTGCTGTGCATACAGGTTTCTTCTATACGCGGTACTTTGGTTAGATTATCCATGTATTTATATCCAAAAAAGTACATTTGCAGTGGCCAAGTTCCTTACGATGGAAAGAACTCCAGAACAGTATTAGAGCTCGGAGGGTGCAAGATGGAACCAGAGCAAAACATCGATGTAAAACAAATCCTATCTGCAGAACCCCAAAGCCAATACTGAAAGATTCCTCACCTGACAAGAAAGGGAAGCAAAGTGTCTTTCTGAAATGTTTATGTGGATTTTAATTCCTGGAACACTGTAGGAAGTTAGGCATTTGCAATTAAAGTTAACTTACTAAACTAACTGAACAAGTTAACTAACGGCACAAAGCTGATCATATGGAATACTGTAACTTTATTAGTAAATACAATGCACTACCGTGTTGCTAAAATTCACTTGTGACTATAAAAGAGCAGTTAACAAAATGAAAGAACCACAAGAGAAACGTATTAAAGACTGTGTATTAAATTACCTGAATTGTAAAAAAGGAAAAAGGAAGAAGGAATGAGCATTAAAATAAAAACCTGTGTGAGATTAGTATGCAAACCTATACAATCTTGACAGCATTTTGTTATACTTTATGCTTATAGCAAAGAGTGCTACTGTACTGTAACACATTTCTAAACAATTCTCTTTTAGTATGAAATGTTATATCCACACTTCTGTCTATTGAAATTAGTATAAGGTGGTTTAAATCCACTGAAAATAGTAATTTCACTAATAGTGGAAACTGACACTAACATTCAACTATAATATCACAAACGTAATGTTATAATAAAACCAGCCTTAATATTAATTCCTACAGTATGAATTATTTGATTAAGGAATACCTTTCTCTGTTATAAAAAGATACTTTTCAATTTTTGCCCCCATGCTGAAGAACAGCAAATCAGTCAAATGACAGCTAGATAACAGTTTCATGCTAAGTTTTCACATAATGGTCTAACTACTAATCTAGCGAACTAACAGTTCTAGGAGGTCATTTTTCAGTCTGTTTTCGCTGCAGCCCATATTTGGGAAAGAAAGAAAATCTAGGAATTCTGGCAGCCTACCAGACTAAGAATGTAATATATATTTCATCAACATCAGTATATACAGAAAGGCAACAAAGAAGTACAAAACAGAGTCTGAAAAGAGAAAACAAAATCAGATAACAGACGTTTTAAAAATAATGATTGTTTACATACTGTCATCTCCAAGTTTAGATGCATATTCATTAATTAACTCTTCTCCAACATCCACTATCTGTTCACTGTTTCGGTAGTTTTCTTCCCTCCATTTCCTCATTTTATCACGCATATCTGGGGGCAAAGGGGAGAAAAAAATAAAAAGAAAATATTAAGATTTCTGGATAGTAACAGAATTTGAATTTTACTCCTGGAAAATATGCATAGGAAGAATGGGGCAGAGAGCAATAAATCTAAAAAAGTGACTTCTACTAATACTAGAAAACCACCGGAGAACAGATAGGTGTATCAGACCTCTGAAACTGTATCACACAAACCATGCTCATGCTCTGATATAATCAACTCAAACTTCTAAGTTTGCAGCCTCTCAAGTTAGTAACATGTGCAGTAAAAAACCCCTATACCTAGTTATCCAATAAATAATAAAATTTAATGGATATTACCCACGGTTAGGAAAAATAGGCTTAGAGAGATTTCTCCCAAGTATTTTCACACATTTACAAACACTACTAAAACTGCACTTCTGCTCCAGGTGAATAAATTTTCACTGAAGTATTAGAAAACCTATGAGAACTCAATCACTGCTCACGTTTAACAGTGTAAGCAAAATGCTGCGATCTTCCACTCTAAAAAGAATCTACATGCGCCGCCAGAAAGGAGCCTCAAGAAAGGCAGACATGGAAGTGAAGGCTTTCTAGATCAAGGAAATGCCCCAAAGTATAAAAATTATCACTGTTGATCTAGGTAAGACGGAAAAGATGGCTTATTTTAGCATCAGGGGTTTTGTTTTAAGAGTACCTTTACTATGAATCAGATCTCCAAGAGAGCAGGCACACTGATGAAGTCAGCTAGAGAGCACTACCTACCTTAGGTTTTATTTATCCTCTGGATCACGAAATTGCTGAGAATGTGATTTTATATACACCTACACATTGATATGCCTGTATATGTTCCGTATACAAGAAGGAATTTTGAGGAAACTTACAGAAAATAGTTTTCATTAATAGGTAGTGGCTTTACTAATATGAAGGTACTGCGACAACTGTTGCCAATATTTTTTTAAAACTTCACAACAGCTGGAAAAACAAACACAACGCTAGATATAAACATCGTCAGTTTTTCTTGCACCTCAAAGCGCATAGTTAACATAACTGACAGTAAAAATTAAGCACTGAACTTCCTTCCATCTACCTGAAGTGATCTCGGATTGCTCATAAGACTGTTATTGTGCCACATTTTGTATTTTGAAGTTCAACCAAAACCACCACAGGGTTACATTTCATATGCATGGGTAAAGTTAAATGGTTCTAGACACATGATGGTCCCTGGCAATTCAAAGTTAGACAGCAAGAATGTGAGAGAACACAAACATTCACAAAAGCTGACAAGCTAAACCCATAAAAATAAATAAGCTGTCTGATTTCTACCTACTCATTTACTTGGAAATTATCAATGCCTCATTCCAGTATGATTCCAAATGGAATATTCAGAATGGTCTGAATTACGTATAACAGAATGCACATCTACCATTCATCACCCAAGAACAGCATTTACAGTGATGGAAAAAAACTTCAGGACAGAGAACAGTACATCAGCTGATGACCAAAAACCAAAGCAAAAATAAATGTTCTTATTCATGTGAATCTATTGAAATGCTCGTTAGTTTTAGAAATACTGAATTTTATGTAAAAGGTGGTAGAAAGAAAATGCTAAAAACTGCAGTAAAACTTAAGCAAGGCCTTTTGCAATGTTGTCAAACTTAATGAAATTTTTACTACGGAAGCTATCAAAAGTCAGCCAATAATAATTTAAGTCTTGGAGGCAAATCTACATAGAGCACATAATACAAAGTTGGACAGTAGCAATTGGGGATTTCAGAAAAAAAAAATTGTTAAAGAAATGTCTAGTTTTAATTACAATTACTCCCGTCATGTATATAGGCTGGTCCTGAGCAATTGATACATTTGTTTTAGTTTTAGGCTCTCTTAAACTAGCAAGCTTTGCACATATAAATCAAAACATTACCAGTTCAAAGGAGCAGACACACTTGCCACAACGTTTGCTGTTCTCTAAAAACATGCAAGCAGCCTACAGGAAGCCAAAAGAAATAACCTGTGTTTTATTTTTGTGTCTGTTAAGGCGTCAGTTAATTCGGCCTGAGCAACCAGATATGAAGTAATCCTCTTATAATTATTTATACTTCGATTGTTTAGTTGGATCATCGTTTTCAAGTCCTCCATATCTAGAAGCACCTGATGAAATGAAAGAAGCTACCCCTATTAGTAGAGACATACACTGCATACTCCAAAACATTACCGTGACATACAACAACCGCTACCATCAGCGGTCGCTCAGGGACCCCATAACCATTACATTTCTAGAGCTCATTTGTGTGTTTTCTTCTGTTACGGACACCAAATCTGCCACCACCCTTCAGGTCCACCCACTCTCATCTCACAAAATATGAATCAACGCAAAAACCCCACAAATCCACCGATTCAACAAGCTTACCTAAACGCACAGGGAGCACAGTGGCCTGGCGACTGCTCTCTGCGGGTCTCCAGACCCCTATCCTTACCCGGCCGCCGCAGCCGTACTTTGCAGGTGGAGGCAGAGGCAAAGGCAGCTCAGCTGGGCACCGCGGATGCTGCCCTTCACCCTAACAACTCAGCTTTCAGAGCGGCCTCAACCAAAACCCCAGCCTCTCACCTTTGCCTGCTGTAAAATCCCATAAATTCATATATAAAATCCAGAGTAAACTGACCTGTCACTTTGATTACAACTAAAAATTAGGAATACCTAAAAGCAAGCAAACACAGCACGGAACACAACAAAGACATCACACCAACATTTAATTGCACAGAGATGATGACAGAGACAAAATGTTGGGCTGTCTTCTATTTCCTAGAGTCCTTCCACGCAAAGTAAATGTGAATTCAGTTTCTAAGTCACAGGAAGGAACCAATTTTGTCATCTAAAGTGGGCTCTAACGACTAAAGACACTATAGATAGAAGTGTTCACTTTTAAAATTCACTTGGGATTTTCTACTATATGTGATGTTCCCTGATACACACATTTGCAAGAAAATGGCCTCACATATACAGACTGTCAAATTTCATCATAGAAAGTATTTTATATTTTCAAAAATTACAAAGAATTCATTGGAAAAAAGTCTCACATGAACGTGTAACAAAAACTCGTAGTATGCACTACTTAAGCAGCGCAATTTTTAACAGCAATACTAATTTAATGATCCAGAAAACTTAAGTAATTCAAGCAACAGTCATCATGAGCTATTCAAAATCTTCCAAAATATTATTTTCACTTGTTTTCAATTTATGTTACAAGAAATCTCGTTTAGAAAATATGTCACCCCTTTCTCCTTTTGGTTTTGATACCCAGTGAAGACGACTTACTGACTGGAACAAGAATTGCCGTGACAGCATTCCAAGATCTCCAGAAAGCCCGTCTGTCACTAGCCAAAAGTCACTGCTTCATTTCAGCTGGGTTTGAGATGTTATCACTGTTAGATTTCTGTGCCAGGTAAAGAAAGAAAAGAAAACCTGGTTTGTTTTGTCCAATTCTGACAATACGTCAGATGAGTTTTCTGTGAAAGCCAACTGTCATTAGTTCTTGACTATCATTCTTATTTGCAGATCACACTAATTCTGCATGCACAAGATAACTTGTGTGCTACAAAACCTGCTCCTGAAATGAAGTTATACAGGTGTACTTCCCTCCCCCCCCCCAAATATTTCTACTACACAGGCCAAATTAATGTTCAATGTATCACTGAAACCATGTTAATTATTTATGAACAGTCTCCGTAATGTTCTACACGGTTTAAAAAGCTCACGTAAGAGGCTCCACATCACCACTTACGACTGACGTGCTGAACTACTACATCATGCTGCTTTGCCAGACTTGCAATTCTTGGCTCCCTGTCACTCCACACAGTTTCTAATTCTTGTAAATATGAAGGAAGCAGGAAACAGAATGCCATTTTCTCCAGGATAATTAGCAACAGTGGCAAAAAAAAAATGGAGCAACATACCGCCTTAGTCTCAAGTAAGCAAGCTGTAAAATATATGATGCATGTCCACATATAAGCATTTATTTTAATACAATAGCACCCTGAAGCCACGTTTGGTTCATCTAAGTCCACTGATCAAGATCCTGAAGTTAAGTGTGAGGTTTTCCTGCTCCACAGGATTAAAAATACACTTCAAAGCTCAAGACACAGCTGCAGACAAAGTAAAGAAAGAAAAAATAAAACCAACACCTCCAACAGTGGAAATCAGAGTTATTTTCAGTTATCTTTCCTAACCACCTGTGCAATGCATGTACCTAACATCCCGTTTAATCACTGTTAAACTCCCACCTTTGTCCCACAGAAACCAAGTGAGAAGCGAAGGTACACACTGTATTTCATCCGCCTCATGTTATTCTTCTTCCCTGACCTCCAACCACAGTTTCATCTTTGAGGAGTATGTAAGTAAAAAGCATTTTGTTTAGAAAGGACTGAGTCTATAAAGCACATTTTTCAGATTAATACCAACCATACACCTGTTTTCATGGAAATTAAGCATTTTATGCAACTTCAGGATGAGCTACATTCCATTCCTAGAGCTGTTCAAGTTCTTTGCTAGGGACTAGGTCACAACGATGCTGGGATCACGCCGTGCACGGAAAGCCTCACTGCACCAGGGATCTGTTAAAGTACACAAGAAGAGCCTTTGCATTGCCTCTTCCAGGAATCTGTTCATTTTTTACTTTCCATCTTTTAAAATAGAGGAAAAAAATATATAATTTTTCAAATGTGTGCTTCTGAAGCGCAGACAGCTGCTTGTACCAATGCAGATCCTCAAGGATTTCCCCTACGCTCCAAGTCTTTCATTTGGACATAAACTGGAAGCTGATATGACAAAACTCCCCAGTCAGTCCCCAAAAATCTCCTATTCAGCATACCCATATGCAAAACAACGCACCTAGCACAATGCCACAAATGTCAGTCAAAACTCTTTGGAAACAGACTGTGGAGGTTATTTCCAAGTGTAGGTCGCTCACCTCAGCATGAATTAGCCGGGTCCAAAAGCAGTAGACTTGAACATCCTATACCTGGCCTTTACACCAGAGCGTGAAGACACCAACACTGCAATACTCCCAGCCAAAACAACCTAGGGCTAAATGTACAGAAATGTATCCACGATGCACGTTACCTCTCCTGTGAGAAATCTCATTTCTCTTTGCAGTCGCTGACACCTGAGAACAACAGAAGGAAAAAAACCCCTAAATCTCTGGGGTTTGTAACAATTTCTGTTCAAGCAAAATCAAAACTAGAGAAGTTCTGTACACAAGCTGTTTTTAGAGCAACTTTTGGGAAAGCCTAACAGTAACACTAGTGATGCTCCATACAACTTCCCTTCCCCTGTCATGGCCTGCCTGCTCTCCATCCAAGCTCCGCTTTCACAACCACCATACCTTCTCACGAGACATATAAAAGAACAAGCAACCAATCTTCTCCCAAAGTGCTAAATTAGTCTAATGACATCACAGCGATGCAACCAAGCATCGGAGCAAAACCACCTATAAGCTGACCACCTGACACACTGGCAAGAAAGCCCTCTTCTTCATCCTTAATTACAGTTACAGCACTATTTTCTTCAATACCAGCTAAAATATTTTCTGATATTAGTGCAATTTGAGCTGAAAATGGAATATTTTTGAATTCCATTTTGTTTTGGAGTCCTCAAGAAAAAGGTGCAGGAAAGACAGCACGGGCACTATTTCTGATGGGCAAGGTACTAGCACCTGCTAAAATACAGCCCGTGCCATGTTCCTCCTCTTATCCCCATACTACACAGCCAAACTAACCAAGACTCTATGCTCAGGGAATTATTCTATTGCTCCATTATTTCTTCACAGATAAGCAGTAAGTAAATAAAAAAGCCAAAGGTCACACAGCTTCTCTCTGCATTAGCTTCTCTACTGTATAATGTTTGCAATGTATTGAACCACCCAGCTAAAGACTCTCCCTTTATGGCCAAAATTACTGAACAGCACTCATTTATTCCTGACAGGAGACTGTAACAGGCTCGAGTACCATGTGAACTCACATTTGAGCATGTGCTGCTTGCAAGAGAAGAACCATTCAGAATGTCAGGTAAACCTCAAAAAGTACTGTCTTAAAAAAAACCCATCACCATTATGATCAAACAGATATGAAAGCTACAAAGACCTGGGCAGCAAGATTTCCAAAACCTTTATTTTACTTCAGAGTTTCTGGGAATTCCTCCGCAAACGCTCGTCATCAAGTTTTAGGAAAACATCAGGTAGTTTTCAGGCGCTCCAAAAGGTGAACCCAGACACAAACCGCGGCCCCAACCAAGAGGCCATTTTTTTCTGTAGGCGCTGTATCAGTATTTGGGGGGAGCTGGGAGGCGGCGGGAAGAAGGGCAAACGCCGTCCTCTGGGGAAAGGGGGGTCCG